CTCCATAAGAGGTATTACTAATGATATTTTTCTAGCATCCTTATTAAAATGTGTGTTCAAATTTTACCTGCCATACATGTACATGAAAGACCCCAAAAGACTAATGCAGGGTTTGTTTGTTTGTTTTTTCAATCTGGCATCCAGTTTTCTGTGTCAGTTTATTTTGAATTCAGAGTATGTTTCTATGCAAGGATTCTCTCCATCCCCAGCCCAGTGAACTGCTCAGGAGGTTGTCAGTTTGGGGGTGTCGGGGAGACGGTTGGAGTCCATGAATTTGGATGAGAAGAAACTACACCTTCAGTTTTACTAACCTCAAATGAAAGGTAGCATCTCCTTCAATTATGAACATAGGCACCAAACCACTGTAGTATAAGCAGGACCTAGGTATAAGTCATCGGCAGAAATGACCACATTATACTTGTTGCAGATACCTCCAAAAATCATTTATATTCCTTATTGGAAATTACGGCAGTTATTAGACCCATCACAGATCTTATTTAATGTATCATAACCATAACATTAAAATATATATTTTGATGACTATGCTTTAATTGGTTTCCTTTGTAAGCCTATGTATTTTACTTTATGCATTTTAAAACATTTTTCTGAGGACTCCATAGGCGTCAGACAGCCAAGAGGGTCCAGGGTGCAAAATTAGGCTAAGAACTCCAGGGCCGATGGCTACTTCAGTTGTCATTTAAACTGACGGAACCTGTCAGGTTGTCTTCTGGGGAAGGTCACAAAGGCTTATGTGACAAATGAGATAAGTATTTGTTAGCACCGATCTTGTGTTTTATAGACCCTGGTCTCGTGCTGGGGACACATCAGTGAATGAAATAGGTAAGAATCCCTGCCCTCATGAAACAGAACTCTCTCTCTCTCTCTCTCTCTCTCGCTCTCTCTCTCTCTCTCTCTCTCTCTGTGTGTGTGTGTGTGTGTGTGTGTGTGTGTGTGTGTGGTGTATTCAGGTATCACGATTCATGTGCTGTCATTGAACAAGTTGTTGGGGACTTGGTTAGGCTCAGTTAAGGTGGACCATATGTGACCTTGAAGTCCTTTCTAGCTTTAATGTTTTTTCAGAATGCTGCCAATGATGATGAGGCATAATTATCAAACCAGTTGCTATGTAGGCAAACCTTTCAGGATAAGGAGTCCCTTTGCTTTTAAAACAGTATATTTTGATTCAGAAATCAGGAACCCTCAGACTTTGTCAAGTCTCCTTTTTATCCTTCATCAGATCTATTTATGTAGGAGACATTGCTGGGGTCCCACCCATGTTCCCTCGGTCTTTCCTGGAACTCGTTTGCTGACAGTTTCTGTACATGCCCACAGCTCCCCATGTCTCCCTCCCTCTTAGTTGGAGGGAACAAACTTTGCCCACCTACAGGGCAAGATGGACGTTCTGGGGGATGATGCCCTAGATGGAGCAACTCTCAACAAACCAGGGATAGGAGATGGTGGATAAATACCCCAGCCACTTCACTGCTAGAAGGACGATTCTGGAGCATCTCTCCCAGAAGGTCTGCAGTGGGACTGAGCCCCAGGCACCCATAGTGGTGACCCATTCATTAATACACACCTTTTTTTCAAATTTCTGTCCCTCTTGGTCTCATGTCTCTACTCTGCCATGTTGAATGAGCTTCCTGGGATCATCTTCCAGGAAGGACTTGTGTGTCTGTCTTAGGTTCTCCTTTTGGCAGAACCCACACTAAGGTCATCTATTCACTTAACTCAAAATGCACACATTTCAAGGCTTACGTTGATGGGTTTGCTGCACAGTTTGGATTTGTACTATATCATGTCACTTTCACAGAACTGCTCCTGCTTGTACATTTTGTAGCTGCTTCAGACCAAATCAATCGTTTCTCTGCCTCGAATCTCATTACCGTTTCTTTGATGACACGGGGACATTCACTCGATCAGTTTGCCCAACGAGTCTGAACTCATTGAGTTGATAACTTCATAGAATGATTTTATTTTTCTAGTAATTGCTACTGAGTGTGTTCGTCCCAGTGGGTAATGGGGACACAACCATAACTCAGACTGATTCCATCTGCCTAATCCATTAAAAAAAATCAATCTCATTCAAAATCAAAATAACTCCCCTCCCCTTTGCTTGAGCTAAACTTGTATCAGAGAGAAAGAAGTAGAGTGGATAGGCAGTGGCAGGGGACAAGGTGTGCTTTCTTATCCTCCCTTTCTTTCTTCTGAGTCCCTCTTTCAAATCATGGAGTTTCAGACTAACTCGTGGCTCAAACCTATGGGGAGCTGTGGGGAAGGGAGATTCCAGTAACCCAGCTGGCTGCAGTCAGCTGCCTTGGATATTCTGTTGAGGAAGAGGAGATGCCTGAGTTTCATTTGTGTCCACCTGAAGACTACAGCCTCTGCTTTTAGAGTGGTCGTGGTGTAGATGATATATGTGGTTTTTAGAGTAAGGTTCAGCTCCTCCCCGACCCTGCCCACTGTAGAAAAGCAGCCATATTTCCCTTTGTTTCCCCCCATGGTGCATACCTCCAATGCACTCTTCAAGTTACTTAGTTAAGTGGTTGCCGTGTTCCCTGTTCTCTCTCTATGCACCATAATAAGCAGAAGAAATTGGTGTATTCTTCTGTGCCTTCCAGTGGCTTCAGGGACCTGCCTGGGGAAGGTTGCCTTCATCTTTCTCTTCCCTGGCACACAATATACTACTATTAGGAGTTCTCATCCTGCTATCTCAGGTTATTTCCTGAGGGCTTCCACTTTCTGAAATTTCCAGGTGAGAAATGAACTCCTTATTTACTAGTATCACCCTCAACTTCATGGGATAAATGTTAATGTCTTCCTTGTCACCCAAACAGGAGGAAGGGGCCCAACATTTTCTTCCAGTCTACCAGAGAGTTTCTCTAATCCAGAACATCTCCTTTTTTATATCTTTCGTGGGTAAAAGCGATCAGATCAATTCACCATCTTTGGAACAGCAGAGTAGGAACCTTCAGCCATGAATCTGGCTTTCCTTGAATTTGGCCTTCCAGAATTCAATTTGTTTTTCAGTAGTGGCATCTACATCGTAGTCTTACACCGCTTATAACCTGTGGGGATGGGAATATTTATCTTTGCTTCATGTCAACATGATATTACATATAATTTTATAGCAACTTATTTGCATTCCTCAAGATCATAAAGACACCATTCTTGTTATTCAAGAAGCAAATTCAGGAAATTACCAGAGTTTCCAATAACACGATGGGAAAAAGGCAAACATTTATTTTTATTTGCAAGTGCAGTTTCTGCCAATAGTTAGTGCTCACACGTTTTAAGCTACAGTAACTTTTGGTAAATTCAATGAAGACTTTAAAAAAGAGGCAGTGATAAGAAAATTACAGAAAAATTTCTATTACACTGTCGAAAATGTTTGGAATCCAAAATCCACTATTTTCTGCAATGGTTTTTAATATTTTCTCTGGTTAAGAAAAGATTTTTTTTCTTTCCTTTCTATTTCTACATAGTCCTGGTTAAATGAATATAGTCTGTTCCATGAACTTTTAGGACTTCCATTTTCTGGATTTAGATTATTTTAATTCGTACATACTTATATTAATATTTTAATATTTTACATAAAACATTGATTTGTTGTGTTTTATGAAACAAAATTATAGATCCTATTTATAATGAGGCATTTCCAGTTTAGGGAAAAACTGAAAATCTAATCAGTAGAAGGTCATTTTATGCCTTTTTTTTCCTTTTTAACTTTAATAAATAATTAGCAACCTATTAATTACAAACATTCTTAATTAGGCTTAGAGCAACCAGAGCATTTTCACAATTTTAAATTCATATTTGTTACAGTATGTGAAATTCAGAAAAGCCTCTGGTTTTCCAGTTTGGTAAAAAATGGCTTTCATTGGATGCAGAAGTAATAGAAACTAATGATGACTATGTAGCTTTTCCAGAGTCTTAAAGGCAAATCTATATTGGCCTACAGGTAACATGCAAATTCATCCAACAAGCAACACAAAATGTATTGTAGTAGTCATTCGTGTTTATCAACATTCAAGAAGATCTAGTCAGCAGCACAACTCTCCTATGTCGGAAACACAGAACATGGTCACAACTGAATTCGGGTCACACCCGGGAAAATCCCCGGTCCCTAATTCATTCTCTAGAATCCAGACTTCCAGTATGATACAGAAACAATAGCGACGAAGGTAAATTACAGACAAGAGTTTGGTGTGCTAGCACACAGAGTTTTAAAAACAGTAACGAACAAAACCAAACATCTTGCCCACTTCTGTCTTTTTTCCCTTTGTGAGACTGGAATTCTCACAGTCTTCTTGAAACATTCAGTTTGGAGAATGGAGTCCAAATGATCCTAGCACTGGGTTGTTGGATCAAGATGGCGGAGGGGTAGGACGTGGAGCTCACAGCCTCCTACAAGTACATCAAATGATCCTAGCACTAAAATTGTTCCTTGGAGGGGAAATTTTGCCCCAAGGGGACATCGTACCCCTTTAAGAGAGGGTACTAGGGGAAACATCCTGCTGTGCAAAAGATGGTTTGCTACTAACAGGCTTGAAGGAAAATGTGAGTTTTCAGAATATTTAGCTTTCTCCCAAGGAGTGCTTTTGGTGGTATACTGTGTCTCACATTTTATTGTACTGTATTATTTTGGGCTGGATAAATGGAATGTGCACCCCCATCACCATCACTCTTAAGTCTTCTTCCATTACATAAGACACTTGTTAAGATAAGAAAGATATTCTACTAAAGCTGACGGTGATTGAGAGTCATTCAGTATTCAAAGTTCCTAAAGAATTGTTGGTTCTCCGAAAGGGATAAAAAAGTAGGAAAGACTTTGTTCGAACTCTTGCTAGTAAACAGGTATTACTTCAACCGATACAATGGCTACGTGACAGCAAAGTACTATAAATTATCAAAACTATTGTACAGAAAAATTACAAATTCATTGCAAAATACATTACACTGCTACCATTAAGAAAAAGTGCTTTTTGTTATCCTTTCTATTTTTTGCCAGAAAAGTATTCTTTCAATATAGAAAATCCTGTGCATTACCCTGCAAGTGGCTAGGATATATCATAACGGAGTTTGTACTGAGTCATTCTGATTTGCTGGATGAAAGGCTGAAAAATATAATAATGACTTATTAAAGCCGTGTTCCAAATGACCACACCAGCTGTTAGTGGAGAGATGCCTGTTTAAGACACAAGAAGATGCCCTGGTCTGCCAAACCCTGCCGGTCAACACACCGTCCCATCAATCAGCTGGTCTGGAATATACAGGTCTGTTACACGTTCTCTGGTTTCCTTGTGATCTCCTGAATTATTCTCATGTTCTCATCTAGCTTTGTCACCTCTATGAATCCTCTGCTCAGTGATGCCTGTATTGTCTCATGAGGGGAACAATGCAAGATGGCGGACCTGCCAATTTCAAGAATGGATGTCCGAGGAGTTCCTGGGCTGTGGCTCTTTGAGAGGGTTCCCTCACCAACATCAGGTCTAGGAATCCCCGGAGCACTGAAGAAACCTGTGAAAACGCAAGATACCATCTTGAGGACTAACACAGACACCCAACCCAGTTCCCCTAAAATGGGTTCCCAGAGAATTCCCAGGAAAGTCATTCTATCAACAACTTCAAATTCCAGAATGTCAGGTTGAGGAGAAAGAGGTTATGGAAGCAAAAGCAGGAATTGCCTTTCTTAACATATGCTGTTTTCCTTACCTTCTTCAAGTCTGAAATAATAGGAGTAAATGATGGTATGACAAAGAATATTTAATAAATAAAATAATAGTGGTATAATAGTGACAGGAGCAGCTATTATGAAGTGCCTACTGTGTACAGGTGCTGGCCACACATGTTTGGTGAACAGTGGTGTAAACATGGAATGAGTTTTCTGTGTAACCACTGAAACCATCTAGGCTTTGTGGAATCCCTTTCTTGAAGAAAAGCAAACTTCTGTTAAGGATATCTGACACAGACAGCATTTTTCCTTTAATTTCGTGTAATTTACTTTTTGAGGTATAGCTTACGTACATTCGAGCGTATAAAAAGTTTATGTTCTACAGTAGTTTTTTTAAAACACATATTTACACCTATATATTCCCCACTCCTATCAAAATATAGAACATCTCTCCCTCCAGCCCCCTTCCAATCAATACCTGTCTCCCTGCAAAGGGTCACCACTATCTTGACTTCTGATAAGATAAATTTTTACCTGATTTTGTCCTTTATAGAAATTGAGTCATTGGCTGTCAACCCTTCTCTCTCTAGCTGCTTTCACTCGACATCGTGTCTGTGAGATGTATCCGTGATGTGGGTGGCAAAAGCTGTATCCTTTGCATTGCTGTGTAGTATTCACTGCTGAATCATCCCACATATCACTTATCCCTTTGGGAAACAACCTTGGAAGGTTTCCAGTTTTTGACCATTAGGATGAAAGCTGCCCTTGTCTGTGACTTTGAAGAACATCACACTCCTTTGTACTGGTTGTGGGATTATTTGATACCATACTATTTTAGCCACTTTTTATTATTTAAACCCAGTCCAATGCAGTACAAATTTCAATCTCCTGTTCAGTTCAAGCAGTCTCCCATCTTTTTGGCAGATCCACACAACCTCTAGGAGTGATTCTATTGGGGCTCTTCCCTAAGGTTTAGAGGTGAGGGAAGAGGAGAGGCAACCATTACAAACTATCCCCTCACCTAAGGCAGCCTCACTCCCTCTCTTATTGTCAGGAGGCGGATGGGAGGGGTCAGCATTTATAGAGTTGATCTGTGGAGACAGCACCTCTCAGCAAGCTCTGCCCCCACTGGTGGCCCCCACAGTGGCATTTCTTTGACTTAGTATCATATGTTCTGAGCTTGGCCCTACTTGACAATCTTTGGAAAACAGGAAAGGCCCTACTTGGTCCCTTAAACATGTTGCTCTTTGCCCTGCACAATCTAGCCGCTGCCTACCCTCTGACATGCCTCACCCTTTCCCTGTGCCCACTTTGCTCTGGCTGAGGGTCTTCACACTGCTCCTCCCTCTGCCTGGGACATTTTTCTCCCAGATCTTTTTGTATAACTTACTCCTTCTTTCCAATCAGGCTCCAGTCCCCTGAAAGGGCCTCTTTCACCCCTCAGCCAGAACTAGCTTCCACACCCCCCTCCGGCCCCTTCCATCACATCACAGTGTTCTATTTGCTTCACAGCAGGTACCACTCTCTGAAATTATTTTATTCATCCATCTGTGTGTGGTTTAACTGCTTCCCCAAATAGAATGCAACCTCTGTGAGAGTCAGGAAATGTGGGGTTTTGAGCTGCTATATCCTGGCCATTAGAACAGTCCCCAGCATGCAATAGATTCTCAAGGAGGGAGTGCGGAGTAGAGCCAACCCCATGAAAGAGGAGCAGCTGTACCCCATTTTACAGATGAGCTTCAGAGATGGAGGGGCTGACTCACTTGCCCAAGCGAATGAACAAGAATAGCAGAGCTCTGAATGCAAGCAACTCGAATTCCAAAGTCCATGCCCATAAACCAGGATCTACTCCTGGATGCGATATGCCAGTCTTTAAAACTACAGAGAGACGGAAAAATCGAAGAATGATGTTGAACTTCAGCAACGGTTGCTGCTTCTCACCTTGTGCAGGTCCTTCACTCTTGGAGGTAAACTGTCTCGGATCCGCCGCATGGCCTGGAGGGGAGGCTCATTGAAGTAGGGGGGCTCGCCATCAATCATCTCTATCACCATGATCCCGAGAGACCAGATGTCCACCTGTTAGGCACACCACACTGATTATCTCAGGCAAAGAGAACCTTCTGAAAGGTTGGATGTGTCAGGGACCCCAATAGGTTCATACTCATTCATAAATTAATGTGGGATTTGTAACCTCTCAAAATATACAATTCATATATATATAGGCTGAATTGTTGAGTGACCAAGTGTTTGCTAATGGTCTTTGTCTGCTTTTAAAATACAACTTCAATGATGATTCTGACAATTAGATACACGTGAATGTCTTAACACTGAAGTTTAGAACTTTCTTCTAATCCTTTTAACTTGGGTGGTTCATGGTCTACAGGGCAGATGTGAAAACCATCCAAAGTTTTATGTTATGAACAGAGAGGAAAGTTGCATTTAAACCATAAGAAAATCAGAAAAGTTTTTGGCATATTCATAACAAACTCCAAAGAGCTACATTGCACAGGACAATATATCCTGATTCTTCTATTAATTTGATTTTTAAAAATAGTGCTTTGCCCCCGTATTATTTTTCTTTGTTTTCTTTTTAATTTTTATTTTTTTAGCAGTACGCAGGCCTCTCACTGCTGTGGCCTCTCCCGCTGCGGAGCACAGGCTCCGGACGCACAGGCTCAGTGGCCATGGCTCACGGGCCCAGTCACTCCGCGGCATGTGGGATCTTCCCGGACCGGGGCATGAACCCATGTCCCCTGCATCAGCAGGCGAACTCTCAACCACTGTGCCACCAGGGAAGCCCATTCCTTTGTGTTTTATCACTTTGAAGCAGTGTGCACAAAACCATGATCTATAAAACCATGTTCAGGGAATGGAGGGAAAGAAAGGGAGAGACAACAAGCAATCCTTTCTGGGTAAAGAATGGGAAGTCAGGATAAGGAGGAGCCACAGCCGTGCTATAAATTCCCAGGCACTGTCGCCTCCCCCTCCCAGCCTCATTACACCTCTTATAAGTTATTCACACTCCTGCTCTCACCTGCACAGTGCCCTTCACTGAGAATTGATGCTCTTGGGACCACAGCTATTCATCCAAGGGCAAGTAAACTGGGGGAAGAGAGCAGAGTCCGCCTGAGCTTCTGCCACTCCCCTTTGCTCACTGGTCTGTGCCACCACCTGCAGTCTTCTCCTCTCTTAGGATCACCGTCTGCACCATGATGTGTGGAAACACTGTGTGCCCAGGCGAAACGAGCTCCTTGCCTCTGTGTGTATGTGTGTGTAGTGTGTGTGTGTCTCAGAGCTTCTCCTCACACTATTATCCCCCTAGAAGGCCCTCCTCCACTTCTGGTCCCTCGTTTTATGTATCCAAACCTTGTTCCTTAATAGATTATGAGCAGGTATGGAAGCAATCTAAGTGTCCATCAACAGACAAATGGATAAAGAAGATGTGGTATATATACAATGGAATACTACTCAGCCATAAAAAAGAATGAAATTTTGCCATTTGCAGAACATGGATGGACTTGGAGGGCATTATGCTAAGGGAAACAAGTCAGACAGAGAAAGACAAATACTGTATGATATCACTTATCTGTGGAATCTAAAAACTACAACAAACTAGTGAATAAAGCAAAAAAGAAGCAGACTCATGGACACAGAGAACAAACTAGTGGTTACCAGTGGGGAGAGGGAAAGGAGGAAGGGCAATACAGGGATAGATAATTTTTTTTTTAAAGGGAAGTTTATTATAGAATTATATGAAATCATGTGTGTGAAACTTTTTTTTTTTTTTTTTTTTGGTACACGGACCTCTCACTGTTGTGGCCTCTCCCATTGTGGAGCACAGGCTCTGGACACACAGGCTCAGCGGCCATGGCTCACAGGCCCAGCCGCTACGCAGCATGTGGGATCTTCCCGGACCAGGGCACGAACCCGTGTCCCCTGCATCGGCAGGCGGACTCTCAACCACTGCGCCACCAGGGAAGCCCATGTGTGTGAAACTTTAAAAAATTATAAAGCACTGTAGAATTTAAAGAATCTTTCATTCAATAAAAAAAGATCAAAAATTTTTTTGATTAAAAAAACAAAAACCAATTAAAAGATAGATTATGAGTGATTATTTCCTTTTCAGAGGAAACAATCATTTTGCCATATTTTAAAATATGTTGCAATATTCGTATATGATTTTTCCTATAGCAAAACATTATTTCTCATCCAAATATTAACCCCAATCCTGTGGAGCTTTCTCTGACGTTCTATCCTTTGAATCATCACACCTACTCATCTGTGTGTCTCCAGCCACTTTTCAGGTTGCATTTTCTCGCTTTGTGCACGCTTGGCCCTGAGGGTAAGATATTAGTTTGAGTGACTCTCTCCCACTGTCACCTTGGGACCTAAGTACGCTCCTGGATCAATGTTGTGGCAATATCCCAGGGATGGCCAGTCTCCCTTCTTCCACAACCTACTCTGTGACAAGCCTAGTGAATGGGGATCAAATGTGGAGTTAAAAGTCATTACCCTGATCTCCTGTGGTCATTAACGATCTCAGAACCCCTGCATCCCAGAGCCTAACCAGACCCTGCCACTCCCCAACAATGACCATCACTCCCTTACCTCTGTCCCATAAGGCAGCCTAGAAATCACCTCAGGTGCCATCCAGTAGGGTGTGCCAACCAGTGATTTCCTCTTTGGCACCTCTTTGGAAACTTGAGCACAGAAACCAAAGTCAGACAACTTTATCTGAAAAGGAAAGGAATGCAACAAACTAACAATATAAAAATACTGGCTCTGACGTTTGCAGCAACATGGATGGACCTACAGATTATCATACTAAGTGAAGAAAGTCAGAAAGAGAAGGACAGATACCATACAATATCACTTATGTGTGGAATCTAAACTATGACACAAATGAACTTATCTTAGAAACAGAAACAGACTCACAGACATAGGAAACAGACTCACAGACATAGGGAACAGACTGGTGGTTGCCAAGTGGGAGTGGACGGGGGGTGGGAGAGGGATGGACTGGGAGTTTGGGATTAGCAGATGCAAACTCTTATATATATGTATAACCGAATCACTTTGCTGTACACCAGAAACTAACACAACATTGCAAATCAACTATGCTTCAATAAATTAAAAAAAATACTGGCTTCGAGATATAGAAATATAGAAAGAGTTTCAAATTCAAAACAAAACCACCATCTCTTGTTAACAGGCCTTGAAAATACCAGAGAACGGGCTATCAGACCCTTTTATTGGAAAGGTACAATCCATTTTAGTGAAAAAACCTCTTATGGCTCCAGCAGGATTGATTTGCAAATGTTTAACTCCTGCTGCTGCTACCTTTTATAAAATTATGAAACCCCAAAACTTACAATACACCTGAAACAAATTCATTAAAATTCAAACCTACTACTTTCATTTAATGTAAGAGATGATGCTTTAGTGTAAGTAAACTGCTATTCTCAACACGAGTTTTGTACAAACTGCTGCACTTTAGGGGGTTTTTTTGCACCGAAGACATTTAGATTTCTAAGTACCATGAGATGATTCAAATAACAAACCTCATTTCTATGTTTGAATTATTGCAAGACCCCATTTATAAAGGATGCTGAGATATCACTTTAAGTACTGGCTCCCCTTTTCTTTTGGTTTTCCTCCTTTTCTCAGGACAATTGAAGTTGCCAATGTGAATATCAATGCAAGTGGAAACGTGGGCATAGAAACTGGATGTGAACAATTAGTTACCAGGGGTACAAGGTGGTCATCTTAATTACCCAATATACATATATGTTATTTACGTTAGAGGTCATCAAAAAGAAAAACACCCTGAAATTTCTTGCCCGAAGCCTTTAAGAATACTCTTAAGAACATACTGCACCCTCAGGCACCCTGCCAGTTTATATATTCTAGGTGACCAGGATTCAGTTTATTTCTGGGAGGCTTGATTCCGTTCATGGTGACCTGGTCTGAACTTCAGATAGCCTCACTGGAAAGGATTGCCACTTAGGATTATTGGTGATGACAGAATACATTAAATGAAAACAAAACAAAACAAAACAAAACAAAATCAATGATTCAGGCATTGTTTGGCAATGGTTCAGAATGGCCATTTGAAGTTAAAATTTCCATAGATCAAAGGTATAGTCTCTAAGGCACAAATTCTCCCTTGATTCTCTTGATACCTCTCTGAACTTTTTTCAACCTTTTTTTCTGGCTCTATCTCTGCTGCCCACAACTTAAATACTGGGGCTTCCAGGAGTTTGGGTCCCAACTCTCACCTCTTCTCTTTTTAGGTGCTCTTGCTAGATACTCTTTTTAACTCCACATGGAGTTAATTTTTGTGAAGGGTATACAGTCTGTGTCTAGACTCATTTTTTTGGCATGTGGATGTCCAGTTATTCCAATACCACTTGTTGAAAAGACCATCTTTGCTCCATTTTACTGCCTTTTCTCCCTTGTCAAAGATCGGTTGACTCTATTTATGTGGGTCTACTTCTGGGCTCTCTATTCTGTTTCATTGGTCTATTTGTCAATTCTTTGCTAATACCACACTGTCTCAAAAAGTCCCAAGGTTAGGTAGTGTCAGTCTTGCACTTTGTTCTTCTTCTTCTTCAATATGTGTTGACGATTATGTTGGTCTTTTGCCTCTCCATATAAACTTTAGAATCAATTTGTCGATATCTACAAAATAACTCACTGAGATTTTGACTGAGATTGCATTAAATCTATAGATCAAGTTGGGAAGAAGTAACATCTTGACAATACTGAGTTCTTCCTATCCAATGTAATACCTCTCCATTTATTTAGTTTTTTTTAAATTTTATTCATCTGAGTTTCGTAGTTTTTCTCATATAGATGTAGTACATATTTTGCTTGATTTATACCTAAGTATCTAGTTTTGGAGGGTGATAATGTAAATGGCATTGTGTTTTTAATTTCAAATTCCACTTGTATTGCTGGTACATAGAAAAGTGATTGACTTTTGTATATTAACTAGATATCCTACAACCATGTTATAATCACTTATTAGCTCTAGATTTTCTTGTTCATTCTTTCAGATTTTCTGAATAGATGATCATGTCACCTGTAACCAAGATAGTTTTATTTCTTATTTCTCAGTCTGTATACCTTTTATTCCTTCTCTTGTTTTATTGCATTAGCTAGTACTTCTAGTATGATGTTGCAAAGGAGTGGTAAGAGGGGATATCTTTGCCTTTTTCCTAATCTTAGTTGGGAAGCATATTCAATTCTTAAGGATAGCTCAAGGCCCTGATCACTTCTCACTTCCTCCAGAATTTTTCTCAGGAGGCTATATTGATCTCTCCCCTCACCAAATTTGAGAGAATTTAGCATTCATCTAATCTTGAACTGTTTTCTGATGCTGAGTTTTTCCCGCAGCTAGAAATGACATTGCTCAGGGGCAATAGCTCTGCCTTTTAATTATGAAGCCTTGCTGTTCTCCTTAAGAGCTGAGAAAACAGTAGATAATCAAAAACCTCATGCTACTAGATTGATATTACCTGATATTGACATATATATACATACATACATACATACATGGGACAACAGATCACGTGATAGAAAACACATTGGTGCTCCTTCTGAAGCCATCATTGACTTACTGAAGACAACTGTTTCTAGAATCAAAGTTGTAACACAGATGAAATGGAGGTAATGTTTTGGAAATTATTATTTTTTCTTTTTCCATTTCCTTGTTCATGATCTGCTCTCTAATCAGGCCAAGACTAGTGGGGTGTGGTTTGGGATGGGACTCCTTCAATTTGGATTGCACCAGATGGAATGCTAGAGAAAGATGGTTTAACAGAGATATGATTTTTCTCAATTGCTTTGATATCAAAAATCAAGCCCAGATGTGTCAGATCACAGAATTTCCATGTGGTATAAAGAAGACTGCCCTGGGAATTCCCTGGCAGTCCAGTGGTTAGGATTTGGCTCCTTCACTGCTGGGGCCCGGGTTCAATCCCTGGTTGGGGAACTAAGATCCCACAAGCTGCAAGACGCAGCCAAAAAAGAAAAGAATAATCCATTAAAAAAGAAAGAAGAGTGCCCTATGGCCATGGTAGCTGGTCCATAATCCTTGCTGCCCTATTGTAAAAGGCGTCTACAATTCTGAGAAGTGAAAGCCCTACAGTCCATCACTTTTAGCCAAGGATTATTTGCAGAAGAGGACAAAGAGCAGTAACTTACGTCAGGCCCCAACTCTTTATTATACACCATTTCCTACCAACCCGAGCAGATGGTGGTGTGCTTCAGAAATATCTAAGTAGCATACACCCCCACACAAACAAGGGAGAGGAGCCACATGCATCTGTGTTCAGAGGTAATATTAAAAATATTTAATAACCAGATTCATCTAGACCAGTCAGAATCTAGACATAAAGTTGAGCTTTGTTCTGGAGTTATCCTGTGGGCATTACCATCCTTAATGAGGCAAGAGGCGTCCTGGTAAAGGGCTGGGGTCATGGGGGATAATACTCCAATGACTGGAAACAGTGGCTATTAACCAACAAGCATGAGAATATTGCAACATTTTAACAATGGGTATAGATACACTGGTGAATACCAGCTGCACAGCAGCTCCAGCTATGCCCAACATGGCCTCCATGGAGAGATGGCACAACAGAGTGGGTGGAAATGAACTTGAGGCAATGCTACTGGCTTCCATGGCCTTTGTGTGGTATGCAGGGCTCCCGAAGCTCCTCCAAATCTCAGTGAAGGAACAGGGAAGTGCCAGGCACAAGCCTATGGCTGACATGAGAGGCAGTCTCAAGGATAGCTTTCAAGACTTGAGGAAAGAGGCTGGAGTAAACTACTGCAGAGAAGCCTTTTCCTGAAAAGACCAGCAGCTGATGGGGCCAGCTAATGCTCACTGGTCACGAGTCCAGGTAGCAGAAGAGGCTGTCACGCCAAGGCAGGGACCAGCGAGGAACAAGAAGATGGATCGTATCTCCTTCACCCGGAGGTCCCATAACCCACATTTGTCTCCATCCTGAGGAAGATGGGGGTGGGAGGTGGAAAGAAGGAGCAGGTGGCGGCCAAACCTGAAAGACTGAGGGTTTAAAGGTATCAGTTTAACCTTACAATAATGTGACTGAATTCTGATAGACAATGTTTAAATTATTTAAGCAGACTAAATTTAATAGACTGAATTAAAATAGAGTTTTAAAAGAATTCTAGTCAGTGGGGTTTTGTGAAGAAGTCGAGGTTATGTGTGTGTGTGTGTGTGTGTGTGTGTGTGTGTGTGTGTGTGGTTATTTCCAAAGTTCAAGCCTGAGTAAGTTTGCAACCCTATGACACAGATAGTAAAGGAGGAACAATTTTGCCAATATATTTTGTTTACCTGTAAAATGAAGGAACCTGAATGATTCAGGAGGTGAATGTATCAGCATTTTGGTATTGGCAATTTTAATTTCAACTGGCTTTGATTTTAAAGCCTCTAGTGTGGCTCTCTTTTTCCAGACATTAAAAAAAAGATACCAAACCTGACAGACTAATAATTATCTCCCTGACAAAATATAAGATGAGAAATTGAAACTCAACGCTTGGAAGCCAGGCCTGTTCTTCTGTTGTAGGAGTATAAGTGCTTTTGCATGATTTTTTTTTACTCATCCAAGTACATAAAAGAGACAATTTTCTAAAAGAACATAATTGCACACAACATTCGTCCAAATAAATCTGCAAGTAGATAATAAGAACTCAGGTAATGAGTATAA